TCTTGACTGGCTTTCAACCCATTCTGTTTTTACTATTGAATGTTTCAGCCCAGCCAAGGCTCATCTATACCCAGACCTGGCTTACACATGGCTCAGTAAGGGCAGAAACCTAGCCTAGTCCATCCTACACCTACCCTGGTCCCCTGGAGCACCAGTTGGTGCTGGAGTCTAGCCTGGGTTGTTGCATTCAATCCTAGCCTCCACACTCACTATTCGAACCCCAGCCCAATTAGGGTGTCTTAGCTCCCCAATCAGGCATGTTCCAGACCATAGATCGTGTGCATGCCAGTGGTTGCTCTGACCCAGCTTGGCATAGCCCGTCACCTATCTTGGCCTTTGCCTTCTATGCTGTGTCATAGTATCCCTGGTGGACCAGTTGGTGTAAGAACCTAGTTCAGCATGGCCTGTGCTCCATCCCGATTTCTGTTCTTTGTGAGTTAAGCCCTACCTGGTCCATCCCCTTCCAGTTGCAGCTTGGCCCACCCCACATCCTGTTTTAGGATGCACATTTGGGTGCTTCTGCCTTGAACTGCCTGGACTGTTGTAGGTTCCTTTACCCGTAAGTGATGGCAGGTTCCATGGTCACACCTAGCTCAGCCCATCACCACCCCAACTCGCAAGCTAACCAGTGGAACTTGTATTTCCACAGGGTTGGGCCCACACTTCCACCAGAGAATTTATCCCAGGATTTGGTTCTCTTATGTGTTGGTTAGTGTCCTGACCCTCCCAAGTGTGACCCATCCCCTGTCCCACCACTTGGACAGGTACTGATACCTAGCCCTGCCAGGCAGGCCCCAAGCCATAGCTTTTGTGTGGACTGGTGTGTGGCAGTCAGTGCTGCTCTATGGTGATAGCCCATGTCAGGATTCCCATGTGGGTTGGTGAATCAGTCTGGTCCAAACAGAACTTATGGAATCTCCCCTCCAAACCCTCAGATCTCAATCCCCAGGCTTGCAAGCAAGTTCCGTGATTTTATCGCTAGGAATCATATGGAATTCATCCTTTGCCAATACTTACACTAGCCTTATGCCTGGATGTCCCTAGGCAGCAATTACAACCCTAAAAACCCCAGGGCTTGCTGCTGGGCAGCCGGCAGGCAGAGCACAAAAGCCTAGGACTATCACAGTGTGGCGACAGTGCCGATGGGCTGAGTCCTGGACATTGCGTCTGACCTGGCCTGGGTGCTCTGCGCAAGTGGGTCAACACCATTGTGGAGGGCTGCTGTCACCTGAACTGCCAAGGTCGAACTCCCCAAAAGTAAAATCTTATTATTAAAAAATGTTATTCCAATGCTTTCTGGCTTCTTGTTTTCTGATGAGAGAAAAGGTTTATTTTAATTAAAAAAATTTTTTTGGGGGGGGGTTTGTTTTGTTTCTGAGGAACCATGCATATATATATATAAAGAATTTAAAGAATTATTTAATTTTTATTGGAAAGTCAGAAAGACCTTCCGTCTGATGATTCACTCCCCAAGTGACCACAATGGCAGGTGCTGAGCCGATCCGAAGCCAGGAGCCAGGAATTTCCTCCAGGTCTCCCAAGTAGGTGCAGGGTCCTAATGCTTTGGGCCGTCCTCCACTGCTTTCCCAAGTCAACAAGCAGGGAGCTGGATGGGAAGTGGAGCAGCTGGGATTCGAACCAGTGACCATATGGGATCCTGGCGTGTTCAAGGCGAGGACTTCATCTGCTAGGCTACCGTAATGGGTCTAACCTTTTTATATGTTGAGTTTCTTTTTTCTTGTTTTCTTTTTTCTTTCTTTTTTCAAAGGTCTGTCTTTGGCTTTCAACAGCGTGGTTATGGTATACTTGGGTGTGGCTCTCTGTGTTTATTGTGCTTAGGGTTTGTTCAGTTTCTTGGAGGAGAAAGTTAAGGTTTTCCATCCAATTTAGTAATTTTTCCACCTACTTTTTGGAATATTCTTTGTGTTCACTGATTTTCCTCATCTCCTCTTGGTCTTATTGTGTGCAGTGTTGATGTGAAGAATGATACTCCATAGGTCTCTGTATTAGTCATCAGTTTTGTCACTATAATGAAATACCTAAGGTAGGCTAAGTTGGTAAAGGAAAAAGAAGCGGTTGGGTGGACCCAATAGAATTTGAATTGTGGTGTTACAGTGCTTGCTGGCCAAACCATGAGTTGGTATAGTCTCTTGGCAAGAAAAAGTGTATGTGTCTGATTAATGTGATGTCTGTTTTATTTATTTACTTGAAAGGCAAATTAATATTCTCTATTTGGTAAGACACTGCTATCATTATTTCCTTTTATCTATTTATTTGTTTTGAAGACTTTTTTCATTTATTTGATAGGCAGAGTGTTAGAAAGAGACAGAAAAAGGCGATCTTCTATCCTCTGATTCACTTCCTAAAGGACTGCAATGGTTGGGGTTGGACCAGACTGGAAGCAGAACTCAGTGTTCTGTGTGGGTTTCCCCACATGCTTTGCAGGAGTCATTATTTGTGCCGCCTTCTGCTGTATTCCCAGGCACATTAGCAGGCAACTGGAGTCAGAAGTAAATCAGCCTGAAGCTGAGCTGCCATTCCCACAGTATGCTGGGGTTGCAGGCAGGTGATGGCTTAGTGCATTGTACCACAATGCCAGACCTCCTTCCAAGTTTTTTTGGTTAAGATATATATATATAATATAAATAATAATAATATTTAAAATAATAATATATATATTTAAGATTTACTTATTTTTATTACAAAGTCAGATATACAGAGAAGAGGAGAGACGGGGTCGGGGGAGATCTTCCGTCCAGTGATTCCCTCCCCAAGTAACCGCAACGGCTGGTGCTGTGCTGATCTGAAGCTGGGAACCAGGAACCTCTTCCGGGTCTCCCACGTGGGTGCAGGATCCCAAGGCTTCGGGCCATCCTCGACTGCTTTCCCAGGCCACAAGCAGGGAGCTGGATGGGAAGTGGAGCTGCCGGGATTAGAACTGGCACCCATATGGGATCCCAGTACATTCAGGGCGAGGACTTTAGCTGCTAGGCCATGCTCCCGGGCCTGAAAACAACTTTTAAAAACTGGTGCGCACGCACGTGTGTGTGTGTGGTTTATATGTGGTTGTGTGTGTGTATATTCCACACGATGACATATTATGTATGTACTAACTGATATGTTACAAACAGAATATTTTATGAAATGAGAAAATATATATGATATTAATGAAAAAAAATTTTTAGTTTAGCATCAGGTAGAAAAGTAAGCTTTTAAATGTGAATGGTGATATTGGAAATGGAGATAAGCTAGACTGCTTCTATATATATATATTTTTTTTTTTTTTTAAAGATTTATTTTTATTATTTTTTTTATTGGAAAGGCGGATATACAGAGAGGAGAGACAGAGAGGAAGGTCTTCCGTCCGATGATTCACTCCCCAAGTGAGCGCAACGGGCCGATACTATGCCGATCCGAAGCCAGGAGCCTCTTCTGGGTCTCCCACGCGGGTGCAGGTTCCCAAAGCTTTGGGCCGTCCTCGACTGCTTTCCCAGGCCACAGGCAGGGAGCTGGAAGGGAAGCAGGGCTGCCGGGATTAGAACCGGCGCCCATATGGGATCCCGGGCGTGCAAGGCGAGGACCTTTAACCACTTGCGCCACCGCGTCGGGCCCTATATATATATTTTTTAAGATGTATTTATTTTTCTTGGAAAGTCAGATATACAGATAGGAGAGACAGGAAGATCTTCTGTCTGTTCATTCACTCCCCAAGTGGCAACGATGGTCCAAGCTGAGCTGATCTGAAGCCAGGAGCCATGAACTTCCTCTAGGTCTTTCACACAGGTGCAGGGTCCCAAGGCTTTGGGTCATCCTCAACTACTTTCCCAGACCACAAGAAAGGAGATGGATGGGAAGTGGGGCTGCCGGGATTAGAAACAGGGATCCCGTGCGTCCAGGGGAGGACTTTAGCTGCTAGGTCACCATGTTGGGGCTGACTGCTTCTATTTTAATTGCAGTTAAGACACCAGTACTAGGAAAGTTTAAGTAGAAGTTCAGTTCCTTATTTATAAAATAACAAATGATTTAGAATAATGCAAGCATCGTGTATCTTAAAGTAGTTAGGGTTAACAGAAACATCTGTGAAAGGAATAAAGTCTAGGTTTAGAGGGAATGAAATTTATGAACGAAATACAAAACCCACTCTAACCTTGATATTTAAATAAGTGCTCTAAATGCTTTATTTATAAGTTTATTTTTTTGTTTTTGGTTTGTACAGCAAGACATTCTGAGATAAATTTTGGTAATTTTTACCTCATTAATAAAAATTTTTTTACCATCCTGTAACCACTGATACTGTTAAGAAAAACTTTGTTAAGTGCCGGGATGGGATTTCTGGCCTTGCTTCTGAAATAACAAATGTTGTGAAAGTGAAACTTGTTGAATGATAAGGGCTGTGGTGCTGACTGCCAAAAAACAACGTTTTTAAAGAAAATTTTATAATAAACAAAATACGTCCTGGAAGAATATACATCATAATGTGAATATGTATTATTTCTGGGTGGTATAGGGTCATTGCTGTACAGATAGGGAGAAAAATTTGTACTATGAATGCCATAGATTAATATTTTGTTAATGGGTGTACCTGTAGATAATACTGTTTTCAGTTCTATGAGTTAAGGTAAAATTATATGGCTGTAAATTTTAATGGTTTAACATAGTCTTCATAAGTATTTCAAAAGATGCCAAGAGAATATTCTAATCACCCTGTCAACAATAATAGCAAAGCTTAATAAAATTCATGGAAATAATATGTGTGATTCTCAAAAAATATGATGCATGAATCTCAAAATACCAAAATATTAATATTTGTGTATCAAGCTTATCTTCTGATTTTTATTTCCTATGGATTTTTTAAGTACCTTCATATGTATGCACTGTTATAATTATGAGTCTACCCTATAGAAAAAAGTTTTGTTTCTTTGGGCTACAGTAGGATGGATTTTGAGTCAGAGGAATAAGTTACAATATTATTTATTAGCGTTCAATTTTTTTTTTTCCAGGCACATATTAAATTTCCTATTGACTATCCATATTCACCTCCTACCTTCAGATTCTTGACCAAAATGTGGCACCCCAACATTTATGAGGTAAGAAATGTCCAACATAAATTGCTGTGGAAATTTTATTTGTAGAATAGCATTTTAAAAATAACCTGTATATCAGCATGCTGTGGTAGATATGGTTTTACATTTTTAGTTAGTTGCTTCAAGTTTAATTATTTCAAATTGAGGGTAGCTTATGTATACTCATTAAAGATATTTTTTCCTTTTTAAAGATTTCTTTCTCTTTATTTGGAAGATAGATTTTAACAGAGAACGGACAGAAAGGGGTTCTTCCATATGCTGGTTCACTTCTTGAATGGCCATAGCCACTGGGGCTGGGCCAATCCGAAACCACGAACCAGGAACTTTTTCCAGGTCTCCCATGTGGTTTTTGGGGGCTGAAGGACCTGAGCCATCCTTCACTGCTTTCCCAGGCCATAAGCAAGGAGCTGGATCAGAAGTGGAGCAGCTGGGACACTGGGATGCTGGCACTACAGGGTAGAGGATTAGCCTACTGTTGGCACCAAGATACAGTTTTTAAGCTTTTGCAATTCATTGTTAATAATACACAAATGTTGATGGCTGCATTTTTAAAAAATTAGTAGATAAACTTATTTGTGTACCCATCGTCTAACTACACAGCAAGGGTCACCTGTTGCTATCAGCAAAGCATCAGCTTTTTAAGAGGGGGTTTTCCCACCTCATTTGGAGTGGCCTTTCAGGAGATTTTGCTGAACATTTGAGAGCCTCCTTTGAAATAGATCTAATGTGAGGTTCTTGTACTGAACAAGTCTACATGTGATGACAATACACAGCTTTAGGTTAATTCATAAGGAAACCTAGAATACAATGTGTTAGTACATTGGAACAACTCTAATTTTCCGAAATATGGTTTATCATTGGGACAGGCTAACACTTAAGCAATATCTAGCTTTTTTCCAAAAATAAGCTCCTAAAATATTGGTTTGTTTCTGTGGTTTTATTAATATTCAATTTAGTTTGTATAAATGACAGTAAATACACCATAATAAAAATAATTTTGTTATAGGAGACAATCAGTAGAAATAATTTTTTGCTTTGCAAGTTCAGACAGATTTCAGTACTCAGAGGAGTATTTTTTGTCCTGGATTTTTATAGCAAAGTACCTTAGACTGGAAAAATTATCAAAAACAAATACATGGTTCACAGTTCCGAACTCTGGGAAGTCCCACATGATGCTGTGGCAGAGCTGGTGTCTGGTTAGGGCTTGTTTCTTTTCTTGTAAATGGCGCTTTATTGTGTGTCCTCACATGATCCAAGGGGCATGGCAGTTCACTGCGGCCTCTGCTATAAAGACATTAATCCCATTTGTAAGGATGGAGGTTTTTGTTGTTGTTTATTTATTTCAAATGCAGAGTGACAGAGATCTTTTGTCTGCCATTTCACTTCCCAAATGCCTGCAGTAGCTGGGACTGAACCAGGCGGAAACTAGGAACCTGGATTTTCATCCAGGCCTCCGAGGTGGTTGGCAGGGGCCCAAGCCCTTGGATCATCTGCTGTTGCTTTCTCAGGCCACTAGCTGGGAAATGAATTTGAAGGAAGGGGATGGAGGTTGGGGTAATCCCAGGTCCTATGGAATTGTGTCATTAAAAAAAAAAAAAAGGTAACGGGCTGGTGTGGTAGCCTAGTGGCTAAAGTCCTTGCCTTGAAGGCGCCAGGAGCTCATATGGACACCAGTTCTAATCCCACCTACTTCACATCCAACTCGTTGTTTGTGGCCCAGGGAAGCAAAGAAGGCCCAAAGCTGTGGGATCCTGCACCCGCGGGGGAGACCTGGAGGAAATTCCTGGCTCCTGCCTTCAGATCAGCTCAGCACCAGCCATTGTAATCACTTGTGGAGTGAATTGTTGGATGGAAGATCTTCTCTGTCTCTCCTCCTCTCTCTCTATATCTGACTTTGCAATAAAAATAAATCTTAAAAAAAAAAACTGCTGTACCACAGTTCTCATGCTAAGCACTGTGTTTTTGGAAGCATTAAGAGTCTTCTTAATAGCTGTATCATCTCTCTTTTTTTTTTTTTTTTTTTGGAACTGTTTATTTATTTATTTATTTTTTTTAAAGATTTATTTTTATTATTTTTTCATTGGAAAGGCGGATATACAGAGAGGAGAGACAGAGAGGAAGATCTTCCGTCCGATGATTCACTCCCCAAGTGAGCGCAACGGGCCGATACTATGCCGATCCGAAGCCAGGAGCCTCTTCCGGGTCTCCCACGCGGGTGCAGGTTCCCAAAGCTTTGGGCTGTCCTCGACTGCTTTCCCAGGCCACAAGCAGGGAGCTGGAAGGGAAGCGGGGCTGCCGGGATTAGAACCGGCGCCCATATGGGATCCCGGGCGTGCAAGGCGAGGACCTTTAACCACTTGCGCCACCGCGCCGGGCCCGGAACTGTTTATTTTTAATGTTTTTTTTACAAAATTGAGAAGGATGTATACCCATGTGGAGCCACTAATAAGGTTGGGGAGTGAGGAAGTTGAATGGAACAGATGTTTTCAATCTTTTTTCTATTTCTCCTCTCTGTATATCTAAATTTTTCAATTAAAAAAATATATATCATAAGAATTTGGGAAATAAAGCTATGAGATTGTGTTATGTTGTATCGTATTATTTTTTAATTACCCATAAGAAAGGCTTTGGGACATCCTGCTTTCCTAGGCCACAAGCAGGAAGTTGAATGTGAAGTGGAACAACCAGGATGCGAACTGATGACCATATGGGATTCTCACATGGGCATGGTGAGGATTTAGCCACTAAGCCATTGCACCAGGCCCCAAACGTCTGTATTTTTAAAAGTTTGTTAAGGCGTTCAGCATGGGATCCCATATAGGTGCTGGCTGTTCCACTTCCCATCCAGCTCCTTGCTTATGGCTTGGTAAAGCAGTAGACGACGGCCCAAAGCCTTGGGACCCTGCAATCATGTGGAATACCTGAAAGAAGCTCCTGGCTTCGGATCAGCTCAGCTCTGGCTGTTGTGGCCACTCCGGGAGTGAGCTGATGAAAGGATCTTTCTCTTTGTCTCTTCTCTCTTTAAATTGACTTCCAATAAAGATAAATCTTTCTAAAAATACCTGCCTTAAAAAAATGAAGTTGTTAAACACATTATTTAAGTAAACATACATACTTTTATTAAAGATTTATTTGTTTTTATTGCAAAGACAGATATACAGAGAGGAGGAAAGAGAGAGAGGAATGTTTTTCGTCTGATGACGCGCTCCCCAAGCGGCTGCAACAGCTGAATCTCGGCCAATCCGAAGCCAGGAGCCAGGAGCCTCTTCCGGGACTTTCTCATGGTCCCAAGGCTTTGGGCTGTCCTTGAGTGCTTTCCCAGGACGCAAGCAGGGAGCTGGATGGGAGGTGGGGCCATTGGGATTAGAACCGGCACCCATATGGGATCCTGGCACCTTCAAGGTGAGGACTTTAGTCACTAGGCCATGGCGCTGGGCCCACATGCATACTTTTATTATCTAAATCACAACTTTTAAAAATTTATTGTTTTTATTGGAAAGGCAGATCAGATTTTTTGAAAGATTTTATTTAAAAAAATTTTTTTTGGAAAGGCAGATAAACAGAAAGGAGGAGAGACAGAGAGGAAGATCTTCTGTCCGATGGTTCCCTCCCCAAGTAGCTGCAATGGCTAGAGTTGCACCAATCCAAAGCCAGGAGCTCTTCTGGATCTCCCACGTGGGTGCAGGGTCCCAAGGCTTTCGGCTGTCCTTGACTGCTTTCCCAGGCCACAAGCAGAAAGCTGGATGGGAAGCGGGGCTGCCGGAATTAGAACCGGCACCCATATGGGATGCTGGCGCATTCAAGACAAGGACTTTAGTCACTATGTTATAGCGCTGGGCCCAAGGCAGATCAGATTTACAGAGAGAAGGAAAGACAGAGAAAAAAATCTTTAGTCCTCTGGTTCACTCCCCAAGTCACCTTATTGGCTGGAACTGAGCTGATGAGACACCAGGATTCAGGATCTTCTTCTAGGTCTTCCATAGGAATTCAAGTTCCCAAGACCTCTGCTGCTTTCCCAGGCCCCAACACATTTTTATAGGAGTTTATTTTTATATTGTTTTACAAGAAGACATTGACGGGCCTGGTACGGTAGCCTAGTGGCTAAAGTCCTATTCTTGTGCATGCCAGGATCCCATATGGGTGCCAGTTCATGTCCCAGCAGCCCTAGTTCCCATCCAACTCTCTGTGGCCTGGGAAAGCAGTTGACAATGGCCCAAAGCCTGGGGACCCTGCCACCCACGTGGGAGACCCGAAAGAGGCTCCTGGCTTTGGATCACACCTCAGCTCTAGCTGTTGCAGCTGCTTGGGGAGTCAGCACGGAGGATCTTTTTCTCTGTATACCTGCCTTTCCACGAAAAATATTACAAATTAAAAAAAAAATACATTGACATAAATCACTATTTCTTGGCAATGGTAAATTTTTACTATTTTTATCATTAAAATAATTCAAAATTAATTAACTTGTAAAATATTCCAGCTTTCATGAAATGGTACAGATGTATTTTATAGAACATTTAAAAATATATACCAGGATGTAACATTGTTTTAGTATATATGATCCCGAAGCGAGCACAGGATTCACTATCTTTAAATTGCAAAATGAGCAAAATTTTAAAAATTATAATTGTTTGTAAGGATAGTACAGTTTATTCTCAAACACAAGCTGGATGAACAGATTCATTTTCTGTAACGATTAGATAATATATAAAAGAGATTTGTAAAAAGATACTTTAAGGATGGCACTGTTGTGATCAGCTAGCTACTACTTGTGGTGCTGGCATCCCTGCGGGTATTAATTGAAGTCCTGGCCATTGTGTACCCAATCCAGCTCTCTGCTAATGCAACTGGGAAAGCCGTGGAAGGTGGACCATGTGCTTTGGCCCCTAGAGCCACATGGGATACCTGAAGGAAGCTCCTGGTTTCTGGCTAGACACACAAACACATTCACTCTCTCTCTTCTCTCTCCTCTCTCTCTCTTTCCCTTCCTCCGTGTACCCCCTGTGACACACAAATCCTCCCTTCCTGCCTCTCTGTACCCCCCACCTCCCAACCCCCTTGCTATTTGGGATTGAGGCAGCAGATGGAAGACCTCTTTGCCCTATACCACCCTTTGTTGTTAGACTGTATCAGTGCCAAGGGATGGAGACAGTTGTTTGATGTTGCCCTAGAGACCTCTATTAGGGGAAGAATGATTTGTGGGTATTACTTGAGCAGTTTTGATAGTTCTGAGAAGTTGTTGGCTTAGTTGTACCAGAGGTGAGAAATTCTCTCTAAGGCCTGTTGACTGTCCATGTTCACCTCAGTGTGCCCACAGATCTAGCTACTTGCTGTAAAACGTGGCCTGGAGAGTTAGTCAGCCTACCCTTTTTTTCTATCCTTTAAAGAGTTATTCGAAGACTTCTGTTGGCTTAGATAAGCTAGCTAGCTATCTCTTGTGTGCATCTGGTATGCTGTCTATTCTTGCATGGGACTCAGCAATTAAGGCTGCCCAGTACTGCAGTGTGTGCTCCAGTGTCCGCCTACATCTCATGTCTGTGATGTTTCCCGAGGTCAGGGATCCAGTGCAGAGGCCTATTAGGAGTCCCCAAGAAATCCCCACTTGGAAGGTCCACAGATTTGGCTCCTGTGTACACTGGCTATTACAGGGTCAGGCTCAGTCCACCCCTCTACCAGCTCATACATGTTCTAGCAGGTGCATCTGCCTGGTCAGTTTGTGCCAAACCCCAGTCTCATATGAACTAGTTGGTGCTGTGATCTATCCCAGCCCAGCCACCCCCCAGTCCCAGCTCTTATGCATGCTGGTGGATGCTGCAGCATAGTCATGTTGACTCCAAAGAATCTTTACCAGGCCCACACCAGTCCTGGCCTCCTGTGGCAGGCCCCCCAGCCTGGTCTGCCCCCATCCCCTACACTTGTGCTCACCAGTAGGTACTGCAGTTTATCAAAGACAACCCCTAAGAATCCTACCAAGCTTGTTTTTGTTTTTTTTTGTTGTTTTTTTTTTTTTGTAGGGAGATATTTTCTTTCTGCTTGTTCATTTCCCAAATGTTTGCATTGCCAAGCTGGGCCCGGGCATACCTAGGAGCCAGGAACTCATCCTTGTGCTCCACTTGGTTGAATAGATCAAAGTTTGTCAGCCATCTCTTGTTGCTTGTTTTAGGCACATTGATAACGACTTGGATCTGATCAGATGTGGAGCAACAAGTTCTCAAGCCAGAGCAGCACTGCAGGTGGCTTAACCTGATGTCACTGTTCAGACCCTGAGTTATTCAGTTCAGTAAAATCCATGATATACATATTTTTGGTCAGTTGCTTATTTGTTGTCAAAATTGAAAATCCATCACTAAATCCAAGGTCATGAAATGTAACACTCCCACATACTGTTTTTTTTTTTTTTTTAAGATTTATTTATTTTTATTGGAAAGTCAGATACACAGAGAGGAGAGACAGAGAGGAAGATATTCCGTCTGTTAATTTACTCCCTAAGTGGCCTCAACAGCTAGAGCTGCGCCAGTCCAAAGCCAGGAGCTTTTTTCCAGGTTACCCACACAGGTGCAGGGTCCCAAAGCTTTGGGCTGTCCTTGGACAGCCCTCCCAGGGCTCAAGAAGCTTGGAACTGGATGGGCAGTGGAGCAATCAGGACTTGTGCTGGTGCTCTGATTTGAAGTGCAGGCATTGCAAGTGGCTGCATAACCCCCCGAATCCACAGTGTTGTTCCCCATTCTACTTTAGGATGTGTAGAATTTGATTTGTTTATCTAAACTCATGTTTATATTTCTCTCAGTATGTTATATATCTTACTAAAGATCAGTCTCAAAACATGCTTACCCATAAAGCCTTTTGCCTTTTTTTTTTCTACTCCACCTCTCATGTGGTTTCTGCTATAATATGGTGTTTCTTTTTCCTCTCTCTTCTTCCCTTTTTCCCCTTCCCCAGTCCTTCTCCTAAGTTTCTGAATAAGTTCATCACTGTATAGGTATTTGTTGAATGTTGTATTTGTGTTTTGTAGAATGGAGATGTATGCATTTCGATTCTTCATCCGCCTGTAGATGACCCACAGAGTGGAGAACTGCCCTCTGAGAGGTGGAACCCTACTCAGAATGTGAGGTAAGGTGTCACATAAGGAACAGTGGTGTTTGAGGCAGTCCTTATTTTGTCTCTGGTAAAGTAAGATCATATGTTGACCTGTAACCTACACAAAATAATCCTTTATTGTTGTTTTCTCTTTAAGAACGTTATGAAATAGTTATGAATCTTCTTTGAAGAGTTGTGTTTACTAAGCAGTATTGCAATGATTGTCATTTCCCTGTGTTTTTCATTGATATTTTCAGATCTGAATTATTCTTCCTGCACTGATCCCAGCACTTCTGTTTGGATTGATTGCTTCTTGATCTTGGCATTCTTACTACTTAACTTTTTAAGAAAAATATTTATTTTTATTGGAAAGGCAGAACAGATTTACAGATTGGAGATACAGAGAAAGATTTTCCGTATACTAGTTTACTCCCCAAGTGACCGCAGTGGCTAGAGCCAAGATGATCCGAAGCCAGGCGCCAGGAGCTTCTTCCAGGTCTTCCATGTGGGTATAGGGTCCCATAGCTTTGGGCCATCCTCTACTGCTTTCCCAAGCCACAAGCATGGAATGGAAAGGAAGTGGAGCAGCCAGGACTCGAACTTGTGCCCATATGGGATTCTGGTGCCTGCAAGGCAAGAATCTTGCCACTGAGCCAACATGCCAGGATTACTAGTTTCTTTTTCTTTTTCTTTCTTTTTTATTATTTCATTTTATGACACAGTTTCATAGGCTCTGGGATTCCCCCAACCCTTCTCCATACCCTCCCCCCATGGTGGATTCTTCCACCTTGTTGCAGTATCACAGTTCAAATCCAATCATGATTCCTTCATTGCAAGCATGTACCACGCGTAGAATCCAGCATCTTTTTGTCCAGATAAATTCAACAGTTTCTTGCGGTGCATTACTACTTAATATTTACATATTAAAGCTAGCTTTCCAAACAACATTATTTATTTATTTATAGTACAAGGATAGGAGGGGGCTGGTGAAGACAGACAAAGTTATCCTACCTGTGCTGGTATATTCCCAAGATGGCCACGGTAGCTGTGTCTAGATAGGTCTGAAGCCAGAAGGCATAGACCTCAATCCTCATCTTCTTCATGGGTGCTAGGAACCTGAGTGAAGTAAGAGTGACTCCTGAGAGTGACGTACGAATGCAGAGATCAGAGTTGACCTGGGCCTGCCTCCTTCTTGGTTGTAGAAACACAGAGATGTCCATGGTCTGTATTGTGGGTTGATAGTATGGGCACAGGGGACAAAGCCCAGAGCCATGGAGATTATTCTCAGATTTATGGAATTTGCCCTCCCTAAGTTTTGAACTGAGTTGGGACCTCCTCCCTATTTTATTTCATTCTAATTGCTCTTTTTACTATTGGGGCCAGCGTTGAGAGTCAACAGACTAATCCTCCACCTTCCAGTTGCTGTCATCCATAGGGACACTGGTTCATGTCTTGGTTTCTCTATTTCCAATCCAGCTTCTTGCTTGTGGCCTGGGAAAACAGTGGAGGATGAGCCAAAGTCTTGGGACCCTGTACCCAGTTGGGAGACCTGGAAGAAGCTGCAATCAGTTGGAGATGTGCATGAAGTCATGTTTTGGAGCCCATATGTTGTGTGGCGTTAGTGATAGTCACATAATAATACTTGCTGGGGTTCTGACACGCTGGTCTAGCAACTAAACTCCTCACCTTGAACGTACCGGGATCCCATATGGGAGTTGTTTCTAACTGTGGCAGCCCCACTTCCCATCCAGCTCCCTGCTTGTGGCCTGGGAAAACAGTTGAGGACGGCCCAAAGCCTTGGGACTGTGCACCCTCGTGGGAGACCTGGAAGAATTTCCTAATTCTTGGGTTTGAATCGGCGCAGTATTGGACGTTGCTGCCTCTTGGGGAGTGAATCATCAGACGAAAGATGTTCTTCTGTCTCTCCTCCTCTTTGTATATCTGACTTTCCAATAAAAATAATTAAATCTTTTTTTTTAAAAGGTTTATTTTTATTATTTATTTATTGGAAAGGCGGATATACAGAGAGGAGGAGAGGCAGAGAGGAAGATCCTCCGTCCGATGATTCACTCCCCAAAGTGAGCGCAACGGCCGATACTATGCCAGTCCGAAGCCAGGAGCCTCTTCTGGGTCTCCCACACGGGTGCAGGGTCCCAAAGCTTTGGGCCATCCTCGACTGCTTTCCGGGCCACAGGCAGGGAGAGCTGGAAGGGAAGCGGGGCTGCCGGGATAGAACCGGCGCCCATATGGGATCCCGGGCATGCAAGGTGAGGACCTTAACCACTGCGCCACCACGCCGGGCCCTAAAAATAATTAAATCTTGAAAAACTCATAATAATACTTGCTGGTCGGGCCCGGTGCGATGGTGCAGTGGTTAAGGTCCTCGCCTTGCACGCCTGGGATCCCATATGGGCGCTGGTTCTAATCCCGGCCGCTCCACTTCCCAAAAGCAGTTGAGGATGACCCAAAGCATTGGGACCCTGCACCCCATGGGAGACCCAGAAGAGGCTCCTGGCTTCGGATCGGCATAGTATCGGCCCGTTGCACTCACTTGGGGAGTGAATCATCTAACAGAAGATCCTCCTCTCTGTCTCTCCTCTCTGTATATCTGCCTTTCCAATAAAAATAAAATAAATTAAAAAAAAAAAATACTTGCTGGTCTCAACTTTCCATAACAAGATGTCCATCATCATACCGGGCTCATGCTCAACTTTCAGTTTATCCAAGGCCTAGGCATACTTCAGGGCGTCTTTTTCAACCTTAGCAGACTTTGAAACTTTTCAGTGTTTTGTTAGTCTGTTTCACTACTACATATGTAGATCTGATGGCCGGTTGGGATGGATTTCCCAGCTCTTCAGTGTGGGATGCTAGGCTTGTTTGTGTGCAAGCTTAGCTCACTGTGCATACCAGCACATAAGGTTACAGTTTTGAGCATTTTTGTTTTGGGCATTTTATAATTTAAACTGCACTTTACTATTTTTTTTTAAAGATTTATTTATGTTTATTGGAAAGTCAGATACACAGAGAGGAGGAGAGAGGAAGATCTTCCGTCCGATGGTTCACTCTCCCAGTCACTACAACGGCTAAAGCTAAAGCCAATCAGAAGCCAGGAGAGCCAGGGGCTTCTTTGGGGTCTTCCACACTGATGCAGGTCCCAAGGCTTTGGGCCCTCCTTGACTGCTTTCCCAGGACACAGGCAGGGAGCTGGATGGGAAGCATGGCTGCTGGGTTTAGAACTGGCGCCCATATGGGATCCTGGCATGCTCAAGGTGAGGACTTAAGCCACTATGCTATCGTGCCAGGCCCAAGTTGCACTCTTTCTGTGTGTCTAATTTGAAAGGCAGGGAGAAATAATATCTTATTTCCTGATTTGATGTGCTTAACAGCAGGGATGGTCCAGGCTAAATAAAGGTAAAGCCCATAACTTAATCCATGTCTCCCACATGGGTGGTAGAAACAAAAGAACTTCAAGCATCACCTACTGCTCCACAGTGTATTTGTTAGCAAGAGGGTGAATTGGAAGCAGAGCCAAGACTTGAACCTGTGGACTTCAGTATGGGATCCAGTATCCCAAGCTGTGAATCGTCTCTCCCATCCCACCATTAAATTCATGTACTGAATGATTACCTGGATAATTATTGCATTACCATGGGATTTCAAGATATTTTTGTTTTAAGCACACATCGATGGTATCTTTTGCCTTTCATTGGCTAAAAATATTACAGGATTTGTTGTTTGAAGATGACCAGCCATTTCTTTATCTCAGTTTCTTCAAGGTACAGGATTCCTTCATATTTATGCCTGTGTGTACTGCCTGTGGCACCAGTTACCATAATTTTTTTCTCCTGTGGCCTGCGGGCTATCTGAGCTTGATTTATTTAGCAGCATTCTCCAGAATCACGACCTGAGGAATTACTTTTATTGCTTTTTTTTTTTTAACACAGAGAAAGTAATATTTAATCAAAAGAAATGAATTTCAGGTAAGAGGATACTAGATATAAAGATTTTCTTCAGGACCAGTATGATTTGTCTAATGCTTTTTGCCATTAGAGGATTCCCATTTGCTTACTTTAAGTCAAGCAACATTAACACTTTAAAATTCGTAGTTCTGTGAAAAAGAGGTAAAGTTTAATACCTAGGATAAGTCATAGAAATGTACATGTATTTTTTTCCTTTTTATTTATTTATTTATTTTGGGGGGGAAATGATACCATCATATACTTATGAGCGCGTGATGAATTCTACTAGAGAATAAAGATTATTTGGAAGCAACCAAACTGAAATAAAACCATCAAAACACATGGGATACAGCCAAAATGTAGAGACTTTACAATAAAAACTACTTATCTTTGAATATCCCCTAGGAACTTCAATCATAATTCAAAAAGTATTTGAATTCTAATCATCTATTACCTTATTGGAATTCTTTGTACCTCTTTTTGATTAATTCTTTCTTGGTTGTGGTTTTTTTTTTTCATGTTTGTGAATTTCTTGGGGTTAATAGGATGTGTAGTATGCTTTCTATAACCTCACATAAATGAAGATGTGGTACATGGAAATCTGAAACACTAAGAGGATATAGTCAACATGGGCAAGCTTCTTCTTTGTGCTCGATTCTCTAGGGTCATTTTGTGTCTAAGGCTTCTATGTCCCATATCCAGCTTAAGGGTGGCTGTAGCAAAATAGCAGTAGAAGTGGCTTAGAGTTCAGCTTATCCTTTTGCTGTGATTTGTGGATTTGTTCACCCTGACCACCTGTCTTCTGTCCCCTCACAGCATATATCATAAAAGAAACTTGCACATGGTGGTCTTCTATAACCTACAGACTAGTAAGGAACTAAGCTTTGTGTTTGTGTTTAAGCATAAATCAGTCTGTATCATAAGACCTGAAAGTAAGAGTTGGCCAAATAGGAGAATCATGATAGTAGAATATGGTAAGGCCACATTTAAAGAGATGGAGAATCATTAACCAGGGTGAAGCAGAGAGGGCACTTCCGGAAAATAGGATAGGACAGGCTGATGGCAGAGGGGTACCTAGAGACTGATGGACACAGCAAAGCAGCGGAGACAATGATGTGGTGTTAACAGTGATCGATACCCCAGGACATTCAGTGAGCAAAGATTTGAACCCCACTGGAAACTGGAACTCCACTCGCAACCAGGTGGAAAGGGGAGTTCAGTGGGAGCTCAGCAGATAAACCAAAGAACTGCCTATCCTGCTGGTTTATGTGGTCCAAGCAGGAGCAGAGATGCAGTAGTAGATCCTAGACAGGCAGTGCTGGAAAAAGGTGGATCTCACAGCCCAGACCCTCAGCAGAGCCACATTGGGTACCATTTTGTGTATGGAGGCAGAGGTTGTTGTATATGATTGCACATGCATTGAGCTTGGAGCAAACTGATTTCTGACTTGGTACATTGCACTGACATGATATACTACAGGTTCTTCCCAAAATAGGTTCAGGTAGCCCCCAGCGGGTTCAGAACTCCACCAGTGGCACGTCAGGCGCCATTTTGTACAGTATGGCAAAGGCTATGCACATGTGCTGAATTGGGAGCGAACTCACTTCCAGCTCAGTGCATTGCACTGGTCCCACAGGGAGAATAATGCTGACTTTGGCTCCCTTACGGGTCAAAATATTACTGAAGACTTCCCCTACAGAGAAGCAAAAGCCTTGTCAACCTCACAGTTAACTGAGGAATACATCGAGAAAATGGGAGATATAGAATTCAGAAAACTCATTATAAAGCTTCTTACCAACAATGAGAAGCACATACAGGAATTCAAGGAATTTAAGGAATATGTCATATAGAAGATAGCAACACTGAAAAAAAATCAAGCAGAATTATTGGAAATGAAGGACACAATAGAGCAAATTAAAAAATCAGTAGAAAGGTTTGTTTGTTTTTTAAGATTTATTTTTATTGGAAAGGCATATATACAGAGAGAATAGACAGAGAGGAAGATCTTCCATTCGCTGATTTCACTCCCCAAGCGGCCGCAATGGTTAGAGCTGATCCGTTCTGAAGATGGGAACCAGGAGCTTCTTCTGGGTCTCCCATGTGGATACAGGATACCAAGACTGTGAACTGTCCCCTACTGCTTTACCAGGCCACAAGCAGGGAGCTAGATGGGAAGTGAAGCAACTGGGATACGAACTGGTTCCTATATGGGATCCTGGGCATGCAAGGCAAGGACTTTAGCCATGAGGCTACCGCACCGGGCCCAATGGAAAGTATTAATCTATTATTGATTGAATTTTTCACTGACTCAGATCATACATTTGCATCATCATCTTCTAGAAGGTTCTTGATTTTCATTTCTTCAGTGACACGTTAGTCATTATTATATTATTTAACCTCAGTGCATTGTGAATTTCCATTTTTCTTGTTGATTTTGTATTTAAGGGGATGTACAGTAACTGTGTAAAGGAGACTGTCACATCCAGATGTGATACAATGCAGTGTGCATCTCTACTTCCAGATGAAAGATGGACTGCCAATAAAACTGTTAAATTTATCTTAACAGAAGGTGCTGGACTCTGCCATTGTCCATGCCTGCAATGATGGACTTAGGACTGCTTATGACTGTATTACTATTGTAATAATATAGGGGAACTCAGGTGGGGGGAGGTGTCTAGAAGAAAGTTCACATGATTTCCTAGATGCACTGGATTAAATTGGCAGGTTGATCGTTTTGTAAGTTCTTTGTGGAATTAGGAAGTTTAAGGTAGAGTAGGTATGAGAAAAACAGTGGGTTTGGAAGGGTGAGTAGGACCACTTAATCCTGGTAAATGTCTCTCATGAAGAGTTTACAATACCGTGCCTCTTGCTGGAAAGCACAAAAATATACCTTAAAAACTGTTGAGAACCAAGTGGTACTTTTTGGAGGGGTTGTTCGCATCTTTCCAGGCAGTTCACAACTGCACATTGGCAGGGAGCTCAGTGGTGTGGGGATGTGACATCACACATGACAGACAACACATCGCACCCTAGTGGTGTCTTTTCCCCCCTTCTATACTTTCTCTGTGTGTGTGTGTTTGAAGAAACCCATATTTTATTCTCTGTCTACAAGTTTGGATTGCTTCGAGGAAGCTCGATCAGTCCATTTTCCATTGCTGGCAGTGATGCGTCTTTTTTTTAATCCTTTTAATGTGATTTCTGAAGAACTCCAAAAAAAACTCTTGGGAGGAGGATGGTAGCAAGACGAATTATTCTTAGCCTAATAGAAAGGAGTGTGTGTGTAACATGGAGAGGGGTGGAAATGGCAAAAATTTTGTAAAGTCAAGATACCATTTTTAGGGAAAAGCTTCATGAAATCAAACATCCAATTGCCTGGATCCCCATTTGATTGTTTATTTACTTCCTGGGAGCCAGGTGTAAGAGTCTGTTTCAAAACAACAGAATCTATAACCTTGTGCCAATAAGAAAAGGTAGAGATATTTTCTTTTTTTCCTTAATGCCTTTATGCACAGATGTTATGGAAGAAAAAGCCTAGGAACAATTATGAGTGTTTGTCATGCTTGACTTTTTTCTAGTGGAAACTTTTTATTCCTTAATTTTTATTTATGATGAAAAAGTACTTGCTTCAAGTAGACTTGAAAGCAGTAGACGGTATGGAGGCCTTGGGCTTTCCTCTGCTGTCCCCCCAGGCTATAAGTAGGGAGCTGGATGGGAAGTGGAGCAGCTGGAACACAAATTGGCATCTGTATGGGATGCTGGCTCTTATGCGGTGGCAGTGGTGATGGTCAATTAGCCAGTTAAGCCAATGTACCATCCCCAAGAATGACTTCTAAATTGCTTAGCATTGTGCACCCAATATCTTACTTGATGCCTGTTACTAAACATAGTAAGTATATTTGAATCAAAATTGCTATTTTAAGCTAGTTCTTCCATGTAAAGGCTTTTCAAAAAGCTTTTATTGTGTTGTTCTGCCTAATATTTGTTTACTTTCAAGTGTGGAAGAAAAATATATTCTGCGTATGACTGGTTTTTACATCTGTGACACCACATTAAGAACTAGACATACAGAGCAGCATCCTTTTCCACCCTCTCCCACAAACAAAAATGCAAAATACTGCCTTGAATTTGAACTCAAGTTTTTTGTGCTTTTTTTCAAACCCATTCTAATTATTTTGTTATTTTCTTACAAGATGGATTTGAAAGCTTCCAGATACCCAGCTTTGGCAGAATAAAACATGTATCTGTTGAGATAATACCTTCTAGAGTTCATTTTTTCCCCCTGCAATTGAACTTTATGCTACATGTATAGAGTTCTCTGCTTTGTCAGAGAACTCTAGCAGTTTGTATCTAGCTTCTGCTTCAGTCAAGTGTCGAAATACAATTTTATGATGATCAATTTCCATTTACCCTAAGGTCTCAAACATTATAGTCTGAAATTAAGTTATAATTTTAAGGGAGAGGAAATTGAAAATCAAGTTGATCTTTCTAAAATGCAGACTTCTTTTGAATATTGTGACTGAATATTCATGACTGACCCTTTTCTTCCTCTTTCTAGGACTATCCTATTAAGTGTAATCTCACTGCTTAATGAGCCTAACACCTTCTCTCCAGCCAATGTGGATGCCTCAGTTATGTTCAGGAAATGGAGGGACAGTAAAGGAAAAGACAAAGAATATGCTGAAATCATTAGGTAAGCAGTTTGTTTTTTCTTTTACTTACCTACAGAACCAAATTATATTCTGGAACTAAGGGATTAAATCAAACCTGAATGGCAGAATTATTATTTTTTAAATTATTTCTTTATGTTCCCTCCGCTGAACCCTGTCATCCCATCCCATGGTTGATGTCCCAGCCCTTCTCCTCCCCTTCCTTTCAGAATTATTTCTGATAAAACTAGGACAATTTATATTAAATTTACATTGTGTGAAGAGGAGATATGCGCCTGGGTCCAATGAGCTTTCCTGTACAGAGATACCTGCTACTGTGTGTATCCAGTAGATCTGTTCGATGGAGTCGACCTTTGATGGGCTTAACTCTCCCTGCTTATCCTCTACTAATTTTTACAAGTATTTTTATTGGAAAGTAGATTTACATAAAGGAGATAGAGAGAGAAAGATCTTCCGTTTGCTGGTTCACTACACAGGTGGCCATAATGGCTGGAGCGAAGCCAATCCGAAGGCAGGAGCATGGAACCTCCTCCGGGTCTCCCATGTGGGTAGGGTCCCAAGGCTTTGGGCCGTCCTTTACTGCTTTCCCAGGTCACAAGCAGGGAGCTTGATGAGAAGCATGGCTGCCGGGACACAAACTGGTGCCCATAAGGGATTCTGGTGCGTGCAAGGCGAGGATTTTTAGTGGCTAGTCCACTGCTCTGGGCCCTCTAATTTTTTAGGTTATTTATTTATTTGAATGTCAGCGACAGGCAAAGATCTGTTTTCCATCTGCTATTTCACTCTCCAGAGGGGCCACAATGGCCAGGTCTGTGGGCCGACTTAAGCTTGTAGCCAAGCAGATGCCAAATACTTAGGCCGTGATCAGCTTCCAAGCCTTTTGTGCAGTACTAGGTATCTTTTCTGTCAGATGTGCTTAAGCAGGTACAGGTGTTGGAAAGCAGTGTTAAGTTTTTTTCTTTTTTTAAGATATATTTTAATTAGAAAGTCACATGTACAGAGAGGAAGATCTTCCATCCACTGATTCATTCCCCAAGCAGCCTCAATGGCTGGAGCTAAGGTGATCGGAAGCTAGGAGCCCAGAGTCTCTTCTGGGTCTCCCATGCAGGTGCAGAGTGTTAAGGCTTTGGGCTGTTGTTGACTGCTTTCCCAGGCCACAAACAGGGAGTTGGATGGGAAGCAGGGCTGCCAGGTCACGAACCAGTGCCCATATGGGATCCTGGCACATGCAAGGCGAGGACTTTAGCTGCTAGGCCCCATGCTGGGCCCAAGAAGTTTGTTTTATTCCTATTTGATGTTTACATAGTAGGTTATAATAGGAAGAGTCAAGGGTTAGTGGAAAGTAGGTGAATCCATCATTTCCAGTTTTCTTTTTCTTTTTGTGTCTGGGGGGAAGGAGAGATAAAAGGGGAGAAGCTTCACCAGACTCTCAGCTGCCATCTGCCTCAGTATCGGGGGATGGGGAACGCCACCAGATGTCATCCCATAGGTCCCTGACGTGGAGCATGCTCTGAGGGTTCTGCTCAGGTGGTTTTGATAGTTCTGAAATGCTGTTGATTCTGCCGATCCAGGGATAAGAAAATCCTTCCAAGGGCCATTGGCTGGCATAATCCATCTTAGAGTCTCCAATCACTCAGATATTTGCTATCAACACCTGGCTGAGGTGGTTGACCAGTATGTTCTGCCTCCGTCCTCTGCTATGGTACCAGGTGTTCTCTGCAGGCCCCAGTGGTCTGCCATATCTTCAGTGTGCATCAGGGTATGCTGTTCACTGCTCCCTCTGAGCCACCAAGGAGATCTGGTTCTGACACATGTATTGAACGGTCAGCAAGTGCAGTGGCCTTATTGGTTGGAATCCTTCAGAATTGTTCCTTACCTGCAACCTCAGGAGTCCTCCCTCCAACATATCCCCTCGCCCTTTCTCTGGTTCACAGTCCCTGCACCCAGGAGTATATGGAGCGCCCAGTCCCCGATGTCACTCATGCAGAAGAGCTGGGCTGGGAGTCCATGGTGCCAAGTGTCCCCCATGTGGTTTTAAAACATATTAAAAAAAAAAATAGAATAGATGAGTATGATGGCATACTCTTATCACGAGTTTGGCATTAACTGGCCCCAGAATGCCTGCCAGCTACAGGCTGCTTTTCTCCCAGGTGTGTCACACTTGCCTAGGTACAAGGCAACCAAACTAGGCCATTTACTACAGTTGGGGGTTAAGAAAGTTTAATCGGGGCCAATTATGAATCCATTTTCAAAACTGGGCCTTACTGTAAACTTTTTGTGTTATGCTCTTTAGGAAACAGGTTTCAGCCACTAAGGCCGAAGCAGAGAAGGATGGAGTAAAGGTCCCCACAACTCTGGCGGAATACTGCATCAAAACTAAAGTGCCTTCCAATGACAACAGCTCAGATTTGCTTTATGACGACTTGTACGACGATGACATTGATGATGAAGATGAGGAGGAGGAAGATGCCGACTGTTATGATGATGATGATTCTGGGAATGAGGAATCGTGACATGCTCCTTCAGTGCCCCTGCACTGCCCTGCCTTCTCAGGCCAAAGGGAGGGGAGCAAGTGGGGACCTGGCAGAGGCCCCTCAGCAAAAACCTATTCACAGGGGGTGGGAAAACACAGCTCCTGCTGACTCCCCATATGGATCTCAGTTTGCTCCTTTTTATGGACCTTTAATGGAGAGAGAAATACCCTCCACAGAATGTCTGAATTCTTGCATTCTTTACCCTTCCATCACTGTATTGATTCTTTTTTTTTCAATGACAGCAACCCAAACTCTCACCTCACATCGTCTACAGAATGTTCACAGCAAAACACGTTTGGTCTGTTTTTAGATTCTTGAAAAATTAAATAGTCTTTCAAGATGTTTAATGTGTTTAAAGCTGGGAACCCATTTGGAGTTCACAAATGCTGCATATACTGCAAAAGAAAATGAAAAAACAAACAAACCCACAAACTTTAAAGAAAAGCAAATTTGCCAAGGTTTAGCTGCATTTACACTAGTGTGTGCATTCGTTCAGCCCCATGGTGGTGAACATTACTTCTTTTCCTTGCTAAGGCTGGGATGCAGCAGGTGTCAGGGACTCGATGCTAAGTCTAAGCCGCACGCAATGTGCTCCTTTCGCCTCCCTGAAACCATCTTAACATGAAGTCTTAGCTACTCTGAGGAAAGGAATTAGAGTTTGTTTTTTGAAATCGATTGGGATCTAAAGCCTGAAATAAATATTCATACTTTACATAGAACTGAGCACTTGGTTGCTATTTATTTTAAAGGCAGGGTTATTTTTTTCCCCACCAGGGTGTGGGCGAGTGGGGAGGATATGGGAATTAGTGTGTGGATTTGTAGTGATGGGAACAATTAAGAAATAACTATGCCAATGCTGGCTGTTGCTGCTGGAGGCAAAGCCAACACTACTACTGCCCACTGCTGGGAGACACCTGTCCTACACATCCCACTGCCTTCCCTCCAGAACTACTCTCATGGCGTTTGGATTGGTTTTTTAAAGTAGACACTTTTAATTACTCAGTATTAATCCTAGGTGCATGTGTTAAGATTTTGGTTTTCCATTGAGCTGCTTCTACCAATAGCGATAAATGTGGATGTGAGACCTGAGTGACTGGTTTTTGCTTTCCTCATTGGATGTGATCTGGGCTTATTTTTCCCCTTTCTCTGTACTTTGGCTGTGGAATACAAGCAGAAACTGCACAGAGCTCCCGGGCCTGTCTTCTGGCAGGGCCAAGGGAAGTGACTGCAGGCAGTGTTTAAGCCAGACAAGGCTACAAGATCTTCCTGCGCTGCAGTTGCTGCAGCCCTAATTTCCCAGGTCTGTTGTACATTGTTTCAATCAGTATCAACATCCAGCAGCCTTCACCAATCCAAGAATTTCAGAGCGGGAAGGTGAAATTTGGTTTGGGGCTGTTGCCAGTCCATGGGAGGGCAGTGCTCTTTGGGGAAGACTGGTAGAACAAAATGATTTTGGAAAGAAAATGTAAAATGTATACAGCAAGGGCTGAATGTGGTCCTACTCAAGATCCCTGTGCACCTGTGTCATTTTGTGAAGATCCTAGCGCAGAACCAAAAGGCAGTCCGAGTCCCAGGATGGTCAGAGTAGGCAATGCTTTACTTCCATAGCTCCTCCTTCCTTTCTGATCTCAGGGTTTTCATTCACTCTTCAATCTTTCCCAAACATAGCTATTTCCCAGCCGCCCTCTGGCCTCTCAAGTTTGATATGAAATGAGAATGCTCTAGGGGACACTGTTCAGCCTTGTCTAAAAATCTATAACCCCCACCCAGTGAGGGCTGCCTCCTTCATCCTTGATTCCAGTACCATTCAAGGAATAGGGCAGCAATGTGTTAACACGTTCTTTAGGTGATTAATTACACTCTGAACCGTCATAGTTGGTTGTTGGGTCTAACCTTTTCATCCCTGCACTGCTTAGGCAATGCTTCCAGATAACCTGCAAATATTCTGGAGCCAAAGCTTCTCTTGATCCTCTCAATTACCTAACATCCCTTCCCCTCGGCCCTGGCCCTCCCAGCCTTCTATCCCAGGTTTACAGCCAAGAGCTTGGTCTTACTCTCTTGGAGCCCTAAAATTAAGCCTTTCATTTTTACTGCTAGAGCATCTCGGACCCAGGACACGCTGGGCATCCTGGCATCAGGGGAGGTGCCGTGCTGCTCAGTGCTGTCCCATCAGGCCCCTGTTGGCCTCTGTTGCACGTTGACTCAGGGAGCCAGAGAGCCAAGTGGCGCTTGTTCTGACTACCCTTCAGGTGTTGTCTTATGAGAAGTACCATCAGTTCCAGAAATCTGGGGTGTGCTGACTTGAAGACATTATGATCGGGTAGATGCTGGTTCTGTATCCTGTCCAAAATACTTGAGTAATCAGGTGGGGGAGGGAGGGAAGTAGAGGTCTCAGCTCAACCCAGAACCTTTGCTGAGTACAGCTGTGCTGATTTAGTACGACATGAACTCAAAACCCTGCATTCTTTTTAAATTCTGATTGAGGCCTCACTGGATGCTCTTCATTTCCGTGTCTTCTGAGGCGGATGAAGGTGTAAGACAATATCATGATTCTGTTGCTGCTTCTCTCAAAGTCTTCCCCCTTTTTCTCATCATTCCGGAGTCCTTTTTTATTAGACACAAGTTTTTGTAGTCCTGGCATCTCCTTCCCTTCTCTGGCAATGATTTGCTTCTTTACTTGCTGGTTTCCTTGTATGGGGCATACATAGCAAGAGACTGCAAGGGAGAAATGTATAGTTCTTGCTGAAAAATTAACTCTACCCTCCCATTTGATAAACAAGGTTTACATTTGCAACTAAAATCCAGATGCAATTTTCAACTATTCTGAAACCAGCAGGACACATTTGACTTTAATAGTTTTCTTAGCGGAAATTGTAGATGTTTTTTTCAGTTTAACTTATGAGAAGATTATCTGATGCATTTTGTGTTGACTTCCCCTTTAGTGGTTTATTTTGTCTTTCTGCCCATCTGTCTACTAATAAAATGTGAAATAAAATATACCTGTCTTGCTACTTCCCCATGTGTTAAAAGGTGGTTTTCACTGTTCCCTTGCACTGTGCCAAGGACTTGGCTGAAATGTTACACCTTCAACCAAACCAGAAACCCTGAAAAATAGCCACCCCTATTCCTTAAGAGTTGATTTTGAGTCCCAAAAGGTCACGTTGGCTGATGGAATCATTTTTTGTTGTAGTATTTGTGGAATCATAGCCTTTATCTCAGGGAGGATCTCGAGCTATTTTCACACAGACCCTGACCATGGTGATTCCAAGGCTCGACACCCCTTGGTCATGACTCAACTATCAGCCTAGCTTCTTTGGCCATACATTATAGTCCTGAAGCGCTATCCTGGTGTCCCCAACTGGACAAAAGTGCATGGCCTGCCTGCCCTGAGAACAGCTGGTTGGTTGGAAGATTCTTGACCAAGCCTTTCGCCTGCCACATCATAACATGGTGATTCATTAGGTATCTGTTCCACTCAGCCCTCTACAACACACTTTAGTCACAATGAAAGCGACACAACTGTTAACTTGAACTGATTCTCAGTCATAACACGCAGAGGCTGTGCATGCTCTCAGAACTTTATTAGGTGGAGTTTGGGCAAGACAAAACCCCTGAAACAGTCACCCCTGGCTTAGGACAACTGGACTGGAGGAGCCTTTGCTTGGAGGCTTGCTTTCGTTGAGGTGAAAGCTTTGAACTGCTCTTGAAAGGGAGCTGCCTGGCTGGATGTCTCAGCATCTCAGTTCAGATGATTTCATATGGACAGCCAGAGGGAGGCAAGTCTTTGGGGCCGAGACCAAGCCCCTGCTTGAGATGAAGATCAGCAGGTGCCCAGGTTTGACAAAAGGGGACCGACCGAGACAAATGAGAGAAGGAGCACTTTCTTGAAGAGGTACGGAGGAATGACAGAGCAAGAGAAGTTGTGATTCCTCAATGGTGCCTGACCTGCAAACCCAAACCTTCCTGACCAGGCAGAAGAGCTCGGGAAGGCCTAACGGCAGAAGGGGGAACTGCAACGGGCCCCTGGAACGGCATGGCTCTCTGCTGGCTTCTATCACATTTACAAATACATACATAAATACACTACATACAACAGGGAGCTAGGGTGGCAGGTTCCCCCAGATGCTTGGCTGACATAACTGCATGGCTCAGGAGTTGTAGGAAAGGGTGCTGGGCTCCCAGGTATCTGCTCCATGTGCTCACTCTTGCCCAGGGAGACCCCACCCCAGACCCCCCATCTTCAGGTTCAGGTTCAGTTTGTCCAGTATGGAGAGTTGCCATAGGTGGCTTTGGAGGCTTGAGACTTGGGCTGCAGGGAGCTGGGCTGGCTGCGCTGGGCCGAGCCACTCTGAGGAGGGAGGGGGGGAGGGAGGAGGGAGAGAGGCTGTCAAGGCTGCAGCAGGATCCCTGACCCAGGAAGGTGGAGGCCTCCGCTACTGCTCACCTGGGCATCCTGCGGGAGGTGGTGGTGCAGCAGCTGCGAGTGGGGCTGCTGGTGAGCAGGCAAGATGTGCAGGAAAGGTGGGGGCGCATAGCCAGGGGCTGCCCCAGGGGCCAAGGGCCCTGTGGAGCCTAAGGCTGAAGGCAGGCTGAAAGGCGGAGGGGTCCCTGCATGAAATCCCTGCTTGTCAAAAGTCTGCAGTACAAAGATGACAGAGGTGGCCATCAGGTTGGACCACACCTCCCAGCAGGCTTCCCCTCCACCCTGTCCCTTCCTCCCTCACCTGAGTCTTGTTGTAGACAGACCCAGCCATATCAGGGAGGCCAGCGGTGCTTGAAGACACCGACACTCCTAGGAGAAAAGGCAATTATTCCCACAAGAGCTGGTGCCAGGTCCAACCTCCACACACGCGTTCCAGGGCAGTCTGGGGTAGCCCTCAACCCAGGAGGAGACTACTGGAGGAGGGATGGGTGCTACCTTTGGCAGACCCAGACCCCGCAGACTTGCTGGGAGCCTGTGCTGCACCGCCATAGCCAGCCTTCGTGTAGTCTCCGGCCGCTGTACCCTGGGTCAGGTCGTCGTAACCTGGCGTTACAGAGGATGTGTGAGCCAGGCAAGCGTGTCCTTGAGGTCCCCATGCCCCTACGTGCAGGAGTAACCTTCACCTGTGCTGTAGCTGTGCTGGCCATAGCCGCTGGTCTGCTGGAAAGGGGTGCTGGGCGTGCTGAGGTTCACACCGTGCTGCTTGGCTGACGCTGGAGGAACCTATTGGAGCAGACACGTAAGGTGTCTCGTGTAGGAGCAAGGTGAGGTGATGACCAGCACCTGGCTGCAATACTGTCACATGCCAGCGCACTGAAGAGTTGCAGGACCCTCCACCCCCAATGTCCACTTTTGTCCACAGGAGCTGGAATTTGGGTTCCAGGGCTTGCAGGCTTCTCAGCAAGTGTGCCGATACTCACAAACATTGTGGGCCCATACTGGAAGGCACCGGGCATGCCTGTGTAGTAGGGCAGGCCAGTGTAGCTGTAGCCAGGCGGCAGCGCAGGATTCAGGAAAGGCTGTTGCGCAGTGTGGTGGGCCTGGGACTGGCCCTGCTGGGGCTGAGCTAGTGTAGTGGCAGGTGCAGGTGATGCGGAGTCACCTCGGCCAAACTTGGTGACATCACCTAGAAGAAAGTGGCAGTAACTTGAGTTACTGCCATTATCCACCCAGTGGAAAAGCCAGACTGATTCCCTGGGCTCCTCTGTGGACAACTGGAAGACTCCCCTCTCAAGCTTCATCTCCGGAATCCACTGTCAGGGACTAGGCCTGCCCGTTTCTGCTTCTGGTCCGCTGAACACACTCACCTGAATAGGGGTTATTAATTAAGCTCCCATCTCGGCCTGCAAGAGCTGTGGGGGCGGCGAAGGGAATCCCCCCGTAGTAATCCTAGGAGAGAGAAAGGAGTCTGGTCAGCAGCTGGCCCAGCCACACTCATGGAGGCCGCCAGGTCCTGGGTGCCTGCTGTGCCCTGCCAGTCAGAGCTGGTACAGGCCATGACTCAAACACACACTTGGACCTCTGGCAAAGGCTGCAGGCATTGGCACCCCTGGCTTTTCAGGAGCGAGAATTAGAAAAGCCACTAATTGGAAATCAAGCCAACACTGCTTGAAGGGACAGGAGTTATGCCAGGTAGGCAGGGGCAGAAGCAGGATGCCAAGTGCAGTCTCTTAGGGCCTCCTCTCCCTGTGGTAAGCATGGAGACAATGGCTGACACAGCAGAGGTGCCAATGGAGGGCATAGGCCCAGTGTGCTGCTCTGTGAGGAGGGAACCCTATACCACACCTGTGGCCACCACTGCCAGGCACAGCTACCCAGGAATCCTGGTGGTCAGCAAGAGCTCCCAGCAGCCCTTGAACCCACTCTTCTCTACCCTGAACAGCCTCGGCCAGAGGCCCTCAGTCCAAATACAGCAGGTACAGGGGATGCTCAGAAGGGGGAGCCCTTACACAGAAAATGGGTCATTCTAAAGGCAAGAGTTGAACAGATGTACAAACATGAATTAGGGGGCCTAGTGCAGTAGCCTAGTGGCTAAATTCCTTACATTTCATGCTCCGGCATCCCATCTGGGCATGGGCTTTAATCCTAGCAGCTCTGCTTCCCACCCAACTCTCTGCCTGTGGCCTGGGAAAGCAGTTGTGGATGGCCCAAAGCCTTGGAACCCTGTACCCGCATGGGAGACCTACAGGAGGCTCCTAGTTCCTGGCTTTGGATCAGCTTAGGTCCAGCCATTGTGGCCATTTGGGCAATGAACCAGCATTTGGAAGATCTTCCTCTTTGTAAATCTTTCCAATCACAGTGGTTAGCTCTAGCTGCTCACTCTGCTGGTGGCAGAACAGTAACACATGGGCCTGGTGTGCTGGCCTAGCAGCTAAAGTCCTCGCCTTGAATGTGCTGGAATCCCATATGGGTGCCGGTTCCAATCCCGGTGGTTCCACTTCCCATCCAGCTCCCTGCTTATGGTCTGTCCTTAGACAGTCCAAGGCCTTGGGACCCTGCACCCGCGTGGAGACCCAGAAGAGGCTTCTAGCTTCAGATGGGCTCAGCACTGGCCATTTCGGCAGCTTGGGGAGTGAACCACTGGACGGAAAATATTTGTCTCTCCTCCTCTCTGTATATCTGCCTTTCCAATAAAAACTAAAAAGCAAGACGTGACAAGTGAACATGGGTCACCTTGCTGAGGGACACGTGTGGTCAAACCCAGAGGGGGAGGAAGGCTTTACCAAAGTCCAGGGCCAAGGAAGCAAACCCTATTGTGCCACGTGGCTTTCCTTTAAAAACCAAACAAAAACCCCACCACTGCTACCCATGAGCAGGGAGGATGGGAGCCTTGCGTAGCATAGGGTCTTGTCCTAAGCCCAACCAGCCAATCGAAACGATTTTATCAAGGCTGATACACAGTAGGGTAGGCAAAGCCAGGCAGGGTAGCAGCGAGGGTGTGGTGCCCAGGAGGCACACGTGCAAGCCCCACTGTGTAGGCATGCTTCCACCCACCATGGGCAGCCGGGACTGCAGCATCTGGAGCTCATCGTAGCCGTAGATCTGCAAGAGACCCAGAAAGGGCCTGTCAGGAACCCTGCCATGAACAGCAGCTGGACAAGCCTCACCGGGGAGTTCCGGCTTTGACAGGACATAGGGGAGGACCCATCAGGGTTCAGGGGGGCAGATGTGGGATGGCAAGGTGGGCACCCCATGTGATGCCCACCACCTCCCTCCCCCAGAGTTCCCGCCAAGTCTCTGCCCCCGGACCAAGGCAAAGGGGCGCTGGGGATGCTAGGGGCTCACCGGGTAGGCAGGAAGCAGTCCTCCAGGGCCCACAAGGTACTGGCTGGGCAGCAAGGGTGGCAGCCCCTGGGGCAGATTTGGGGGCGGCTTGCCTGCAGGGAGACCAAGCACACAGTGCTGCATGGCTGCGTAGGGCGACTCCACAGCTGCTCCGGTGGGAGGTGTGGGCCACGGGACAGACAAGCGCAGACCAGCATTTTTCGGGATATTTCCAGGATACAGAGCTCGGTGTCTGGGCAGAGCCCCT